TTTTAGGTTAGACAACAAATGATCAAATTAGGGAATTAGGAACACAAGGTTATGACCACACACCATGGCTTAATCATACTTTAGCTAGAATCAATCCATTAATCTAAATTGAACTTGGGAACTTATTTGCTTGAGTTACTTATTTCTTTCTTCCTTGTTTTATGTTCTTTGTTTTTGTTTCTATTTTGTGTAGGGAAACTAAATTGGATCATTCAATCACCAATCCTCGTGGGATCGACCTCGCACTTACATACGCTATACTACCGAACGGCTCGTGCACTTGCGAGTATCACAAGTTGAGGATGCAGTTTAATCCATTTTGGTGCAGCTGGTATCTACGCAACAATTTTTCCCTTAATATTTCTGGTTTTAGCTTTAGAGTTTCCATTTTACCCCAATACTTATGCTTTGGGTTTAGATTTGTGACTTGCTGGTCAATATTACAAGGCATGCTCTAAAGCCAAAGCTCGATACTCACTGCCGAAGAAAAGAACAAGCTGCTAAGGAAGCACAAGTTGGAAGACAAGCAGGTAACTGTGTATGCATCTTGAATGCAACCTTTACAAATGTTGGTTAGTGGTTTCCTCCATTGGTTGGGAGCAAGGTATCCATTGAAATAGTTTTAATCTGAATAGACTTATTTTGGCAGCATAAAATTTCTTTGTCATGCTAGCTGTTGATTGCAATTTACTAAGTTGGAATCTGGTTGATAAAATTATTGAAGGCAATTTATTGTTTGTGTCTTCCACAACTCCCTCAAATGCTGGAAACTGATGGAATTGCTCGATACTATGGATTGGAGAAAGGGAAGGTGGTAAAAGTAACTTACCGTGGTGGAGTTATTGGTTCCCTCAAAACTAACCGTTGCGTCGTCTGATCCTTCTACACGACTTACATGCCACTTTATGAAGTGATGACATACAAAATAAAGAAGTCACATTAGACATGTTTTGACTAGATTCAAAAACAGGTTTTGATTTAATGGGTTTGTATTTTCTGTGTTACTTACATAAAGTCCTATTAATTAGAACTACTTTCTATAGTTCAAGGGATGGCAATTATGTCCTCAACATAATTCCATTAGTATCATAGGTTGCGCTTTTAAGTTACACGATGTCGTGTTTTGACCTAAAATGAAGATGAGAAACATGTTTAGTGCAGGGCCAGTCCTGAGATTTTGAGGGCCCTGTGCTAAATTTAAACTGGAGCCCTCATATAATCTAATATGAAAATACTATAAAAAAAGAATTGCTATGACTTAATGTTATAAACAATTTTTTATAACTAAAATTCAACATCAATTAGCATGTAATAACAATCACAAACCAAATTCATAATTTTTTTTAATGTTTTCATTTGATAAAGTTAAATATTAGTATGTTCGGTATTAAAAAAAAAGAAGAAAAAGAGTTCAAGCGAAAGAAGGCATGATTTTTTTTAGGAGAAAGCGTATGCGTGTGATCTATACGGCCTTAGTTTAGTTGGATCTTTCCCCTTTAATTTCAAGTGCTTCTGGTTTTTTAAAACTATTTTAATTATAATGAAAAAAAGAATAAAAATACGAATACAAGGACATCGCTTAGACTTAAACCTAGGCCTTGTATCAAGGGATATGCACTAGAAACCAGCTTTACCAAATACGCTTTTGTGTCAATGTGTTGCATGCTAGAGTATATCTAAGTTTTTTAACATTAATATATATAATATAAAGTAAAAAAATTTCTTAGGCCCTCAAGAATTGGGGGTCCTGTTGTTGTTAATATTATGTTAACTCGCAATTGTACGGGGCAATTAGTAGTATAGCAAGACAAGTACGAGGTCGTACCCACGAAGACTGAGAAGTTAAAACTAGTTATGTACTTAGATTACCAAATTCAAGAAAGTAGGAGGTTATGTCTAAAACAGAATTTAAAGCAAGAGTGGTTGTGATTGTTGAACAAAAGAAGCAAAATGAAATTGAAAACAAAAACAAGTAAACATATGTAACAAAGAGTGGTTTTAAGAGTTGGAAAACAAATTTGGAGACTAGGGCATTCGAATCACCATAACAATTCAATTCTGGGTTATAAAGATTCAAGTAACAAGTCTAATTCAGATTCAAAGATTGATTCTACCTAAAGTATGATTAGGCCATGGTGTTTGGTCATAACCTTGTGTTCCTAATTCCCTAATTTGATCATCTGTTGTCTAACCTAAAATTAAGCATTAGGAACACATTAAGCATAGAAGAACATTTTAAACAACCAAGCATGTATCTAATCCCTGTTGTCGAATGTCCATACATACTCTTC